GCGGATTTTTTTTTTTTTTTTTAATAGAAACAAACCTAAAAATAAAAACCTCAATAAAACTTCCAAAATGAACTCGATTGTAATAAAACTTCCTAAATGAACTTCTTCAATAAATAAAAAAAATCCTAAATAAAATAAAAGCTTCCTACATGAACTTCCTCAATGAAAAAAAAAAAAATCTCCAATAAACTCCCTATATGAAACTTCCTCAATAAAAAAAAAAAACAATCTTTCTAAATAAACCAAAAAAAAAAAAAAAAAAAAAACTTCGGTGTCAGCTGTTCTCTTGACATCACGGCCGAGCTGCAGATCCTTGAACTTCGTCTGATTGCGTCGTGCGTCGAAACGTGGGGGGAGGGGAGGCTAAGGATTAAGAAGGGAAGGATGGAGGAGGAGCAAGGGGAGAGGGAGGAGAGAGGGAGGTAAGATAATAGGAAGGAGGAGGGATAAGAGATAAAGGAGGGAAGGAGAGGGGTAGGGAGGAAGGGGGGTAAGGGGTTAGGAGGAGGGGGAGGGAGGGGTAAGGTTTAGGGAGGAAGGATGGAGGAGGAGGGGCAAGGGGAGAGGGAGAGAAGGAGGGGAGGGAAGGAGGAAGGGAGGGTAGGAGGGGGTTGGCGGTGAGGGGGAAAGGGAGGGAGGGAGGGGGTAGCTGAGGGGGGGTTTAAGGGGAAAGGAGGGCAGGGTTGGTACCAAGGTGAGGGGAAAGGGAGGGAGGGGGTAGTTGAGGGGGGGTGAGGGGAAAGGAGGGAAGGGGGGTAGCTGAGGGGGTGAGGGGGAAAGGAAGGGAGGGAGGGGGTAGCTGAGGGGTGAGGGGAAAGGAGGAGAGGGAGGGTAGTTGGGGGGTGAGGGTATTTGTGGCAAAGGGCCCTTGTGTTATTTTTAGTTATGAGGTTTTGTTGTGTTATCTTCGTCTTGTCCTTTGTGTTTTATTTTGCTTTTTTTTTTTTCTTTATTTAGGCGGTCTATTTCATTTATTTATTTATTTATCTATGTTGTCAGAGCGGATTGTGAAAGAAAAATAGGTCGTATTCGTTTTCTGTTTTCCCGAGTTTCAGTTTAATTGTATTCTTTTTTAAGACAAAGTACCTTTTGAGTACACGTGTGTGCGAGAAAAGTGATGCTTTCATAAATAGTTTACATTGTAAAATACTGAGTGGGCACGTTACACACACAGGCACACACACACACTCACACATACACATACGCAAACACAAACACACATACTCAGAGAGAAAGAAAGAGAGAGATAGAGAGAGAGAGAGACAGAGACAGAGAGAGAGAGAGAGAAGAGAGAGAGAGATCAGAGAGATAGAGAGAAGAAAGACTGAAAGAATAGAGACAGACAGACAGAGACAGAAGAGAGAGAGAGAGAGAGAGAGAGAGAGAGAGAGAAGAGAGAGACAGAGAGAGAGAGAGAGAGAGAGAGAGAGAGAGAGAGAGAGGAAGAGAGAGAGAGGAGGGAGGGAGAGAGAGAGAAGAACGAGAGAGCGGGAGACAGAGACAGAGAGAGAGACAGACAGAGACAGACAGAGAGAGAGCTAGATAGAGAGAGACAGAGCCAGACAGAGACAGACAGAGACAGACTGAGAGAGAAAGAGAGAGAGAGGAGAGAGAGAAGAGAGATGAGCATTTGCTTGCCAGCCAGTTTCCTCGCCCTCGTTTGATCTGCATAACTCGAAAGACACTCCGGGCGAAAGCAGATGTGTCACAGAGGCAGGTGAGGACGTTCGACAGGAAAGCTGCGAATTTCAAAATAGTAACATGAGCAATTGTGTTTTATTTTCTCTCTCTCTCTCTCTCTGTCTCTCTCTCCCTCTCTATATCTCCCTCCCTCCCTCCCCCCTCTCTCTCTCTCTCTCCTCCCTCTCTGTCTGTCTGTCTCTACCTCACTCTCTGTCTGTCTGTCTCTCCTGTCTCTCTCTCTCTCTCTCTCTCTCTCTCTCTCTCTGTTCCTCTCTGTCTGTCTGCCCTATCTCTCTCTCTCTGTCTTGACGCGAAAGCTTTTTATGCTTGTTTACAGAGAGGTGATGGCAGGACAGATTGGATACGAGAGGGACTGTCAGTTGATTTTTTTTCTTTTTTTGTCACTTTTGCGTATCATGTTTCGTGAATTCCTTTTCGTAATTTCGTAATTCTCCTTCGCGGTTCTCTCCGTAATCGCATCGGTATTTCGGCGACGCGAGGCACGCCACCGTCTGTCATGGAGGAGACATTTACACGAGATTTTACAGGGAATTTTAAGGAACGAGGGAGCGGGCTGGGGAGGGATGGGGTGGGGGGGAGGGGAGAGTGCCAGGGAGCCCTTGGGGATGGGAGGGAGCTGGGGAGGGGAGGGGGTGGGGGTGGGGAAGAGTACCTCGGCGCGCTTTGGGGTGCCCTAACAGCTCCTTTCAGAAGGGCCAGGACGAGCGCCAACTGGGATAGGGGGGGGGGCAGTAGGAGAGAGGGGGGACGGGAGGGGGGTCGCGGCGTCATTCTGAGTAGTAGTTAGTACCCGGCCACCACCTGCGAGCGGATCCACGCGCGCCGCCATTGTTTTCCGCACCGCGCTCGGGTCGCTTGCTTCTTCGCCGCCCCCCTCGTCCGTCGCCGCCCGCCGTCGTCGTCTTCGCCGTCCTCAGTCGTCGGGCGCCAGTGCTGCTCGTGTCGCCCTCCGCAAGGCCAGCTGCCGAGGGGTCTTAGAGGGGACTGACGGGGACTTAGCCGCGCGCATCAACCGTGTCATCAGAGGAAGGGAAGCCAAAGCCACCTGCCACCCATCGGGACAATAAACTCGTCACGAGAACCCGAAGTTTGTAAACAAGTCATTATCAAGAGCTCTCCCTCTCTCCCTCTCTCCCTCTCTCCCTCTCCCTCTCCAGCGGACGCGAGGGAGCCGCCCTTTCGCGGTCCGCCCGGCGCTTCTTGGCTGCACCAACCGACCCGCCACCCACGCCCGGAGGAGGTCACGGAGCCGCTGCATTTCCTCCGCGTCTCAGTCTCGCCAGTGCTTGTCTGAAGCCTGAGCTCTTGTCGCAGGCTAGCTCATTCGCACGCGCCCGCACGCACGCCCAGACGCCACCCACGGAGAGACCCAGGACGCCCCTCTTGGACTACCCGCTCTTTGATCAACAAGGCGCTTCCTCCTTCCGCCGAGATGGAAACGGCTAAGGAAAACAGGTGAGTCACGGGGGAGGGTTTTTTAGGGCGGGGGGCCAGGAGACGAGCCGCGTGTCCCCTCGAGATGCTACTGAGGGCTTCGGCGCTAAATCCCCGCTGGCGGTTTAATGAGTGCTGTCAAATGCTCGGCGGATTTTCACCTCCTTTGTTCCTCCTTTCTCCTGTCTCCCTTTTTTATCTCCTTCGTCTTTTCTTTAATGAGTTTCAGCCACGACTTTGCATGCTTCCTGTCCATGCAGACTGAAAAAAAGAAAAAAAAACATGAGAGATATGGACCGATAAATTTGATTAAACGTTCAACAGGGAAGGGACTGTGCCACCCAAGTTTATGATTTTGCTTGAATATATTCCTTTCTCCTGTTTTCACTTCTGCTTTGCTAAGTCCCTCCTTCCAACGCGTGGACATACGTTTGCATATATTCGTATACCGCATATTTCGGAATATATAAATGCATAGCCATTTGTATCTCTCCTGAATTAATCTCTGCTCGGCTAGTCTAAAATAATCCCTGAATTTAGTTTAGAGACGCAATATATAGAAGAACAACGTCATTAGTGGAACCCGCTCCTGGAAATGAAGACGTAAAAATAGACAAGTTGGGGAATGTGCTGTTAATTTATTTATAATGGCCCGCTCCTCACTAAGGAATCTCACCTTGGGCAGAATGATAATGATGAATGATGAGTATCATGATAATGGGAATAAGAATAAGGATAATGGTAATAATAAGAATAATGATACTACTGCTATAATGATATAACACAGACGATGATAATAATAATGATAATATTCATAATGATGATACGAATGATAATGATAATTATGACAATAATGATAGCAATGATAATACTAGTGATAGTGATAAAAGTGAAGATATTAATAATGATAATGAACAATGAGTAACCAAGATATAATGAAAGACCCCAATGAAAAATATACGAGAATCTCATTAATTCACCGACGTCGATTTGCACCAAGTACCTTCTCATTTGTAGAAACAGGCTCTCGCGCATTAAATCGGACCTAAAAGGACTAAAACCAGACCTTAAATCTGATCAGAAATTACCATCGCGACAGATTATCTCCCGTGGAAGACGTCTTAAAGATATTATAAGACATTCGAGTCCCTGGATCTTTTTTTTGTGTGTGATTAAGTGGACAGAGCTTGAGTAATCTGCGGCGTGTGGATGGTGTTCTTTGATGCTTGGAAGAAGGTACTTGAGATAAAGTGCAGCTGGAGAGATGAAGGGTGATGGTGGTGGTTATGTTGATGATGAGGAAGATGATGGTTATGATGATGCGATGATAATGATGGTGTTGATGATGATAATGGTGATGATAATGTTGATAATGATGGTGGTGATGATGATATGATGTGATAATGATGATAATGATGTGTGATGATAATGATGATGATAATGATGATAATGATGGTTTTGATGATGATGATGAAGGCAGTAACAGCAAGTAAGATAAGAGAAGGATAAGAGGGGGATATGAATAAATGTACGGATAATAAGCAGTAACAGCAAGTAAAAAAGAGAAGGATAAAAGGGGAATTTGAATAAATGTACGGATAATAAATTGAAAAAAAGATGAAGGCTAAATGAAAAAGAAAAAGAAAGTAAAAAATGTAATAAAAATAAAAAGTTTAAACATTTTCCCAGCATGAAACTGTGTCACATTCCACGGATAATCTGCTGCAGCGACTCATTTCAAATCTCTTTCGGAAAAAAAACATTGACACTATCTTTTTATGATCAAGTAATTTTTAATGAGTCCTTTAGGCAAACAGGAAGTGACTGCATTTTCATGTTGTTTATGATTAATCTATGTGGTG